TTAAATGCTTATTTTGTGCTCACAGCCTTTCTCTTAGAGCTGATTATAACCAAATTAACTCGCGCGCTCTCACTACTGGCGCTGCTGATATTATGATGAACGACACTATCGGGTCAGTGCATATACTAAAGGCAGAAGTGTAGGGAGAGGAAAAGCGATTAGAAAGTCATCGAGACAGTGAGGCTCGAAATTTAGGCAGGGAGATCTAGTGCCGTTTCCTCACGCGAGCGCGCACACGAGAGAAGCTGATGCGAAACTTTCCCTCGGCCACGCGCAGTCCTCCGTTTGGGGATGCTTTTGCTCTGGTATCAAGCAGTGATGGAGCATATGGTTCGAGATTACGTATTTTACTTTCATATTAATCATTTATTTATTAAGAATTAAAAAATAATAATATTACAGTTTCTTATATAAACATTATTATTCATCTTGATATAAGACTAATTTTCATAGCCTATCTAACAGCAGTGCATGATTCTGCATATTGGAGTTACAACTGTTTTGATCACACTTTGCAGTTTATTTAACCGGGGCTAGTTGTCTCAAACGGCTATGTCTCAATAACGGTAAGACTGAGTCAAAAGTCCAATTACGTTTAAAAAAAAAAGAGTGTTTGTATAATGGTTTCGAACAGGTAGTTAAAAACGGCCAAAATTAGAATAATATTCATGATTTCTGTCCCCCAAATGGTCTTATCGGAGTTGTCATATGAAAATATGATTCTGGATACATCAGATTATTCATTGCTATGCACCCAAAAATTAAAATTTACACACCATGAGGTCACCCAAGATGTAGATGAGTTTATTTCTTTAACAGAACAGATTTGGAGAAATTTAGCATTACATCACTTGCTCACCAGTGGATCCTCTGAAGTGAATGGGTGCCGTCAGAATGAGAGTCCAAACAGCTGATAAAAACATCACAATAATCCACACGTAATCCACACCGCTCCAGTCCATCAATTAACATCTTGTGAAGCAAAAAGCTGCGAGTTTGTTTTACTTTTAACTTTAAACAATGACTTCATAATAATGATTCCTCCAGTGAAAAAGTTCATCACTGTTGTCCTCTCACATCAAAATCCACCCACATATTGGATTAGAACTGTTTTTACTTGTATACGGTGCTTGATCTGTGCATATTTCTCTCCTGATTCAGACCAGATGACTTTCCCTGGAGAAAACAATATTGTGGACAAAGGACTCTGGATTTTAGCTGGAAACAACAGTTTGTTTCTTACAAACATGCAGCTTTTCATTTCACAAGGCATTAACTGAAGTCCTGTAGTCAAGTCTTTTACTTGTGGATTATCACAATGTTTTTATCAGCTGTTTGGACTCTCATTCTGACAGCACCCATTCACTGCAGAGGAGCCATTGGTGAGCAAGTGATAGAATGCTAAATTTCTGCAAATCTGTTCTGATGAAGAGACAAACTCATCTACATCTCGGATGGCCTAAGGGTGAGTAAATTGTCAGCATTTTCATTTTTGTAAGCTATTGATTTTATTTCACCACCAAACGCTGAAGCCCAGAGTTTCACCCTGTTGGGGGAAGAAGCCATTCAAATCACTGAAATTACTACCCATTATGTCACCATTATTAGCAATACTATAATGATAGATTAGAAATAAAACCGTTAAAGTTAAGCAGTAACTGTTTGTAATCATTGTACTGTACTGTATATGACCATATAAGAGCATGTAGGTTTCTAGGTTAAATCCACAAGTTTCTCCCTTGTGTTTCTCATTTACTGTATGACAAAAAAGTTAAGCCATTAAAGTGTATACTGTATTTTCTTTCTACACTGAAAAAGTAAAAACCTGCATCAAATCAATTGCATACATGATCTGACTCTTAAAAATGAGTTTCATTAGCGTAATGTAATGTAGTGAGGTTGATTATATCATATTACCGTAAATTATATTTGTGGCTCAAATCAAATCAGTTGAATTATCACATGAAGCACATCACCTGACAATTTTTATATGTGCTGTATACATATAACAGCAATTATTAGGGCCTTTTTACCTTTAAATATAATCAAATGTGCATAAATAATAAAAGCCTCTCATATTTGCACTCTAGAGATAACTAGAATATTATAATAGCGCAATAACATCACAAAGCATAGCTGTAACCTCTCTCTAAGTACACTTATGATTATAGATTGTAGTATTAAATGTAGTAATTCTGTTTTGCTTTTACCTTTAAATATAATAAAATACACATCAATTATTAAAAAAATATTTTTTTTAGATATAAATTATCCATTTAAATACGACCCAAAGTCATCATAAATGATAGTTGTAGCCTCTCTCTCTCTCTACAAATGTTCATGGATTACATAGCCTACAGTTTATTAAGGCTTCTCTGTATTTTGCATCCATTTATATACATTGCAATGTGCATAAATTATAAATGCATCTGTTATTTGTACTCTAGAAATGTTAGGTTCTTAAAATACAACTAATGGACAGTTTTATCCTCTCTTTTTTTCTATACACATGCATACAGGTTAAGAACAATTATTATGGCTTGTTCTCAATATTGTGCATGCATGCTCTTCTACTCACACTGATAAGGGGATCTCCGGTTGGGACCCCCGCACCTCCAGCGCCGTCCAGCACGCGCTCATCACACACAAGAGGAGGTGCATCAGAGGAATTCTCCAGTTCCGCTGCATCCTTCGCCCAAAATTTCTTGCGCTGCAACGGAGCCGGCGGCTCGGGCACTCTTTAGAACTCCCCCTCCTCTCGGTCTCTCTCCCCTCGGTTACAAAAACAGCAGCGAGAGCCGATTCAGCCGCACATCTGCCGCCCCAGCGCGCGTGCTGCCTCCGGAGTTTCAGTCTCTCCGCCCAGCTGTCACACACCCCACGACCTCTTTGACAGGGATCCTTGCTTTTATTCCTGCATTAGGGGTATACAGAACAAAACCAGGTTTAAATGCTTATTTTGCGCACTCAGCCTTTTCCTCAGCGCTGATTATGAGCAAATTAGCGCGCGCGCTCTCACTACTGGCTCTGCTGATATTATGATGAACGACACTTTCGGGTCAGTGCATGTACTAAAGGCAGAAGTTTAGGGAGAGGAAAAGCGATTGGAAAGTCATCGAGACAGTGAGGCTCGTGTGTAAACCCAGTGCGGTTTCCCCATGCGAGCGCGCACACGAGGGAAGCTGATGCGAAACTTTCCCTCGGCCACGCGCATTCCTTCGTTTGGGGATGCTTTTGCTCTGATATCAAGCAGTGATGGGGCATATGCTTCGAGATTACGTATTTTACTTTATTAGTCATTTAAAAATAATATTACCGTTTCATATATTAACATTATTATTCATCTTGATATAAGACTAATTTTCATAGCCTATCTGACAGCAGTGCATGATTCTGCATATTGGAGGATATAACCGTTTAGGTCACACTTTGCAGTTTACTTAACCGGGTCTAGTTGTCACAAACTGTTATATATGTAAGATTGTTATATATGTAAGATTTTGAGTCAAAAGCACAATTATGTTTCAAATATCAGAGTTTTTGTAAAATAGTTTGGAACAGTTCAAAACGGACAAAATTAGACAAATATACATGATTTATGCCGTCCAAGTGGTCTTATCTGAGTTGTCATACATGTACGTAAAATATGATTCTGCATATTTCAGATATTATATTTTCATTGAAATGCACATTAAAGGAATAGTTAACCCAAAAATGAAAATTTGCTGAAAATGTACTCACCCTTAGGTCATCCAAGATGTACAGCAGATGAGCTTGTTTCTTTATGGGGACAGATATGGAGAAATGTAAAATTACATCACTTGTTCACCAACGGATCCTCTGCAGTGAATGGGTGCCGTCAGAATGAGAGTCTAAATAGCTGATAAAAATATCACAATACTCCACAAGTAAAAGACATAACTGTAGCCCTTCAATTAATACTACATGACACAAAGTTTTCTTTTACGTATTATTGTTACAGTATGTTTTTTATAATGCAGCTGTTTGGACTCTCATTCTGACGGCACCCATTCACTGCAGAGGATCCACTGGTGAGCAAGTGATGTAATGCTACATTTCTCCAAATCTGTTCTGATGAAGAAACAAACTTATTTACGTCTTAAATGGCCTGAGGGTGAGTACATTTTCAGAAAAATCTCATTTTGGGGTAAACTATTCCTTCAGCACAATGCACACTGTTAGACAGAATAAATCAGTAGCATAGCTGCTCCTCAACAACAGATGCCATAAAAGAGCAGATAGTACTCAAAGAAAGTAAGTGAATAAGATTTATGACCATCCACTACTACATCACTGACCTCTTGAGCCTGATGCTTAACAATGGCATCCAGGAGTTAATTGCTATTCTCTCATTCTCTTTTTTTGTTCCTCTAATTACCACGAGCACATAAATGATGAGGTGCATCTGCGTGTGTGTGGTAAGGGGTCTGATGGATCTGTCTGAACACAGCCTGCGTCTCTGTGCAGTCATGATTAGCTGGTAAATGCATCATACATCACAGACTCAGCTAGAAGCAGCAGTGACTGGAGCTGAAGAACACTTGCCATACTGTACTATTGCAATGCTCTATCTATCTGTCTATCTATCTATCTATCTATCTATCTATCTGTCTACCTATCTATCTATCTACACACACACACACACACACACACATATTGAAAAATGTGGGGTTTTGTTAAAAAAATCAATACTTTTATTGAGCAAAGGATATGAGACTTTTAAAAGCACTACAAATCTTATCTTCAATTTGTCCTATATTTTTAACAATGTAAATTAAAATGGTTAAAATGAACCTTTTGTTCAATTGGACAGCTTTTGTCTAAAATTCTAAAAGTATATCTATTTTACCTTACCTTAACTTACAGTATATCCATTGGAGCTATAGATGCACATCCAGAAATACAAGTCTTTATTCACTGGTGACCTGGTGGTCCTTCTTAAATCAGAACGACAAAGACAACAATAAGATTAAGAAATGATGGGTCTTTTGGGGACAGAAGCAATAGTTTTAACAACTCTTGAAGCAAATCCGGTTAGTCTGTGCTGGAGTTCACTCTCGTCTATTTTAATGCAGGGCACCAAACACAGTAATCTCTGTCTCGTCTTAATGGAAGTTAAAACTCTTAGTGGGTCAAATATAGTACTGGACATATGTGACATCTGGCACTGAAGGTGCTGAGAGTTACTCTGCACAGCTAATCGCAGAACCTCTTACAAAATCTGTCATAATAAACACAGGCACTCACACGCCTTTATGAATGGATACAGATTCCTGGGAGCATCTTTTAAACAACAATATACAATTATTTAATGCATTGATGCAAAGTGAAATGATGTAAATTAGGTCAATTTTGCCATTCTTTTCAAAGCCATGACCCCAAAATATAAAAATTCAATGCAAACTTTTAGAGCTGAGAGAAAGTAGCCATTTTTGAGCAACGTGACGTGCACTTTCAGTGTACAAAAGATGTACAAAATTGTAGTACCTACTTTGAGAAATAAACTTGTAAATTTAAACATTAATAAAGTCAAAAATACAAGTTACTTTATTGCTGTTATTTATCCAATACATGATCATTAGCAATGAAAAACTTAAGTAGCTGTTTGTTTTATTCATTAAAATCAATGAATCAATCAATACAGGGTCAAAAGTTTGGAATAATTATGTTTTCTAATAGTTTTATGTCCTTAATGTTCACCGAGGCTGCATTTATTTGATCAAATATTTAGTAAAAACAGTAATATTGTGAAATATTATTAAAATGTCAAATAACAGGTGCCCCTGCCTTGGGCGGGATTCATCACGCTGTCCCTCCTCATGGCCGTGTTCTCCATCACAGCTGTCGTGTTGAACGCTACAGTGATAGTCGTCACCCTCCGGCACAAACAGCTGCGGCAGCCACTGAATTTTGCCCTGGTCAACCTCGCCGTGGCCGACCTGGGCATCACATTAACAGGAAGTGTGCCATCTGTGGTGACCAATGCCTTGGGCTACTACATTATGGGACGGGTCGGATGTGTATTGGAGGGATTTTGCGTTGCTTTATTTGGTAAGTCTGTTCTGGTTTCATTCCAACACAAAATAATGATTTTAGACTGTACCCAGATAGCACACGTACGTCTGCAAGAAGTCTGTTAAAGATCACTGGATCTGGAAAGCATCTGCTGTGTACAAACATCTGACAGACGTCGGTTAGATGTTCGTTTTACATACATTCTAAATCATTAACATCTTAAAGACATCTAATAGATGTCTATTTGACATCTGATAGGAGACGTCCTATGATGAGCAAACACTAAAAAAACGTCTTGCAGATGTAAATGCAGAGTCAAATAGACGTCTCCGTGATGTACATGTGCTATCAGGGTATTATTTAGAACTGTAAATTACATTTAAAAGTACAGTAACTGTGGTGGGACCATACAGTGTAATACATTTCAAAGGCATCTGTTAAAAAAACATGGAAATATCATAATTTTTTTTGTACTGTGTAGCTACTGTTGTACAACAAACCTGCTGGTTCACAAGCTGCTCCTACAGGCGATCCTAAAAAAGAGCTTCTTCGTATAGGCTGACAAATGAGACATTTGCAGGGTTTTAAAATCCACTTCATCCAGCGCTCTTTTCGTTTTCTGCGTTCTAAAATAGTCTTTTACTGCATAAACCGCACCAAACAAATCAGTGCATAGGAACTGTCCGAATGGTTCAGGCTGAATAGCGATTAGCGAATCGATTCGACGTTTAGCAAACCCGTTTGACCGACTGACACCAAGTAACGCAAGTAAAGCAAGGTTCGTCGGCAATTCGCCTCACTTTTTCGCATCGCGCTCAGTGTGAAACGGCCTTAATTCATTCGCGAATCGTGTTCTGCTTATTGGAAACTGCCATTTATAGGTGAAAGCGTCCGGTACACAAAACCTGCTTATCACTGAAAGTAAGAAGCCTAGGCCTACCTTAAAAAAGTTTGATAGCCGCCCGACTTTGATGGAATTCCTTCAAAGTTTCATTAGATGAGTCAAACAGCAACGTTCCCTCGTGATAATAATGAATGATTAATTAAGACATTCGGTTCCTTTCTTTCTTTCTTTCTTTCTTTCTTTCTTTCTTTCTTTCATCGGACTGCACTGCACTTTATTTTTTATTCACTAAAAAGACTGCATGTGTTCTATTTGTGCTACCCAGTCAGATCTTGCAACCTCCCATTAAAACAGTAGGTAGTACAATTCGACAACGAAAAATGCTACCTATCAAATTATGGTTTATTAATGTCTACACCAGGGGTGCCCAAACTCAGTCCTGGAGGGCCGTCTCGTATTTGTTCGTGAATCGGACTGCACTGCACTTTATTTTTTATTCACTAAAAAGACTGCATGTGTTCTATTTGTGCTACCCAGTCAGATCTTGCAACCTCCCATTAAAACAGTAGGTAGTACAATTCGACAACGAAAAATGACAGTTGTGGATATAGGGATACAGGTACGGCCAGAAACTACTTACTAGATTGTGTTTTATTAATGTCTACACCTACCCCAACCCTAAACCTACCCCTTACAGTAATGCAAATACAGTAATTGTTGTTCAGCATGAGAAAAAGGATGAAATATTGTGTACCAGGGCAAATGTGCGCATGCGCAGTATGCCCTGGTAGGACAATCTGATGGGTAAAGGATAAAATGTCAGGACACCTTGGCTCAAACAAGTTACCTGTTCGTGAATCAATCAATCTCTATTAGTTTTCCAGAAAATATTGCCTAAAAACTAGCTGTTTCTCCAGCAAACATATTTTATATATTGTACAAGGCAATAATCTTACTGTGTCATTATTGCGTATGACTGGGAATAAACATCATTCATTTAATCAACTGTGTTAAAACTTAAAATACGAATTGAGTCTCGATTTTAAGTCTCGAAAATACGAACTCTCACTTAACTGATGCTAATTTTCCTCTGTTGACTGCACAGGTATAACAGCGCTGTGCACAGTTGCCCTGATTGCTGTGGAGCGGCTGTTTGTAGTGTGCAAGCCTCTGGGCACCATCACATTCCAGACCAAGCATGCCGCAGGAGGGCTGTTGTTATCCTGGCTCTGGTCTCTGGTCTGGAATAGCCCGCCTCTCTTTGGCTGGGGGAGCTACCAGCTGGAGGGAGCCGGCACATCCTGCGGACCCGACTGGCAGAGTCGAGATCTCAAGAATGTGTCTTACATCATCTGTTACTTCTCACTCTGTTTCGCTGTGCCATTCTTCATCATTGTGGTGTCATATTCATGGCTGCTCTACACGCTAAGACAAGTAGGACAGTTGTCCCGGTTTACTTATGTTTTTGAAGTTATCTTATGAGCTGGTGAAATTTAGTTGCAGTGCAGTTAAGTACCTGTACTTTGCCAGAGTATTTTTATCTTGTAAAATGTTTACTTTTACTTGATTACATGATATAAAAACGTCCCTCGTGAAATGCAAGAGGGATGTCCAATTTGAACTTGAAATGTTACAGGAAAAGTTAATTCGAAAAATTAAAAGTTGCTGACAATTTCAGACTCTCAGGCCATCCAAGATATAAATGAGTTTGTTTCATCAGAACAGATTTGGGGAAATGTAGAATTAGTTAGTTACATCACTTGCTCACCAATGTATCCTCTGCAGTGAATGGGTGCCGTCAGAATGAGAGTCCAAACAGCTGTTAAAAACATCACAAGTACTCCACAGGACTCCAGTCCAATCAATTAATGTCTTGTGACGTGGAAGGCTGAATGTTTGTAAGAAACAATACATCAAGATGTTTTCAAATTTTGCTTCTGGCTAAAATAGTCAGCTTCTGTCCTTCATCCATAATATTGACGGCACCCATTCATTGCAGAGGATCCATTAGTGAATAAGTGATGCAATGCTAAATTTCTCCAAATCTGTTCTGACAAAGAAATATTTTTGGATGAACCATTCCTTTAAGGCAGTGGTTCTCAAACCTCTCCATGAAGTACCCCCAGCCCTGCACATTTTGTATGTCTCCCTCGTCTATCACACCTGATTCAACTCATCAGCTCATTAGTGGAGACTGCAAGACCTGAAGTGGGTGTGTCAGATATAGAGAGACATACAAATGTGCAGTGCTGGGGGTACTTCATGGAGAGGTTTGAGAACCACTGCTTTAAGTGATTTTGCTTCATGTGACATCTGTGGCATCTATACTATTTCTTGACACATATTTACACCAATTTTGGTTTTCCTCATTTGTTAAAAAATACAATACTTTTTTTAGTACATTGAAGTTGAAGGTTTTGATAGTGTATAGCAAATTTTGGTAAGATTATTTATTTGCAGATCAATACATATACAATGTAGTGGTGGATGGTATAAATAAACAACATGGTTCATCGATTACATAAATTAAGTACTTTTGCACTTTTACTAAAGTAAATTTGAAAATGAGTACTTTACTGTAGTAGTATTTTATTAGGGTGTCTGTACTTTTATCGAAGTACTTGATTTGTGTACTTAGTCCACCAGTGGTTGTTTGAAAGAATATTTTCATTGACAGGTAGCTAAGGTAGGTGGATGTACGGCTGCGAGGGCAGAGTCTAAGGTGGCGTGGATGGTGGTGATGATGGTGTTGGCATTCCTCGTGAGCTGGCTGCCATATGCCGCTCTGGCTCTAACGGTCGTCTTCAACCCTGATGTCCAGTTGGCTGTGCTGGTGAAGGTGGTGCCCATATACATGGCCAAAAGCAGCACTGTTTACAACCCACTGATCTACATATACATGAACAAAAAGGTGAGTGAAACAAGCAGATAAATCTTGTGGATCGGTATAATTTGCATAGTTTGACACAATAAAGACCATGTCCATTTGGTATCTAATGTAGTGTAAATGAATATAATGTAGTGAAGATGGGTTTTTTCTAGTTCCAGAAGTATGCGATACCACTTCTGATGTGTGGAAGGGATCCCTGGCCTTCAGAGGACGATGTATCTGATGTTCAGACCGTCGTGTCACCATTGAACAACAAAATCAGCCCAGAGTGACTTATTGTATTGTATGTTTGTTTCACTACAGTCATGTTATAGCATGATGAACGTGCGTTTCTGTTAAAAGTGAGATGGTTTTGATGAATGCAATTTTCTTTGCTGTATGTGTTTCCTATTGAAGTTGAGATGGGACATATAGTGTGGCCTTTTTAAGGCCAACAGCCTTTCATTCACATCACATCTGTGTTTCACTGCTTGCTAAAGCTGTTCAGAACTAGCTGGTTTTGGGAGAGGGACATTCTCATTCTAGACAGCATTTGAATGGAAAAAATATGTATACCTTCCTGAATGAAAGACAAGCAAGACAGTATTTTTTTGTCATGTTCTCACAGGGAAAAACGGTGCATTTTATGCTTGTGTCAGACTGTATACTAGCTTATACTGTACTATGTGTATACTGCAGATACAGACTTTTATTCAGCAACAGTGCATTGCAGTTTTTCTCAGTCGTTTTGGTGCATTTCTCAAATCAGAAATGAAATTCTCAAAACTACTTGTTCAACCTCCACATCATCTAGTCATTTGTACACATCATAAAAGCAGTTTCTCATTCTTTTGAACAAGTTGCGATTGCTTTGGTACATTCATGCAATTGATTATGTACATTTATCTGCGGTTTGCTACATTATCAGTTGCTAATGTAATGTTGCTCAAAATGTATTATATAGTTTTCTGTGCAATAGTCTTACCCCTCAAAGCATCTGGTCTTTAGTTCATCGTATAGGTCATTAAATGCAAAATGGTTCATCTAGTTGTCAAACTGTCAAGCACATTTTTTGCACATTATTATGACTTTTTGTAAATTTGGCATGAATTGTGCAAGTGAATCTTGACTTAGAAGAACTGTAAACTGATCAAAAGTGAAAGTAAAGACACCAAATTTGGTGTTTCTTGAGCACCAAATTAGAATGATTTCTGAAGGCTCATACTAGAGAAATGCCTGCTAAAAATTCTTTGCATCAAAAGTATAAATCATTTACAATATATTTAAACATAAAACAGTTATTTTAAATTGTAATATTTCACAATATTAGTTTTTACTGTATTTTTCATGAAATTAATGCAGTTTTGGTGAGCATGAAGACTTCTAAAAAACATTCAAAAATCTCTATGTTAAAACTCTTAAATGCTACATCATCTGCTCCCAGAGCCCCAGAAGAATCTTGCAATATAATCAGATTAATTTTCCACATTTCTTTCCAATTAAAGACACCTTGACCCATAGATCTACTGAGGAACTCATTTTTTTTAGCATTGAAGTCTTTCCGTAGCTATACTCAAGTGTTATTGTAATGTAATAAATTGCAGTTCCATGTTCTTGTACAAATAAGTGACACAGTCATTAGTTTATTCATTAAGTTTATTCTGTATTAATCATTAGAAAATTAAATTTCAATATTGATTAAAATCAAGTCCAGGCCAAAATAAATAGGAAAATTACAAAAAATGTATCAATACAAAACCTAGAGGGATATTATAAGTCATCTGCTACGAAGAGAAAACCTTTTTTTCTTTTTCTTCATGGAATAAAAACCATAACAGAGCAAAGATAAAGACTTTCAAATGGAGAACGTCACCAAGCATCTTTCCGTTACTTCTGTACATATGTTACACTATAATCTTATGTTTCCTTACAGCATTAATAAGAAAAAGTATATAATAGTAGTAGCAACAACTCTAGATGAAACTGTGATAATCAACAGATGTGGCTCTGAAAATTGTATAATACTTTTTTCCATTTTTTGTTTGTTTGTTAACGTATCAATGTTAACAATACAGAGGAGTGCACCTTTTTTCCCCTCCCTTCTGTTTGACCCACTCCAGCACTGAAAGGTGAAATGTAAATGACAAATATAGATTTCACTAAACCTTACGCACAGTCACAGATAATAGTACAAATTTCGCCCACCTTGATACACAAAATATGAATAGAAAACAAATTGCACGTTACAGTAATTTGTGCAAAGATGAACAGCAAGGTGCTAATATTAAAATCCCATTGGTATAAGAAACCAAATGTTTTTCTTTCTTTTCAGGAGTCCGACACGAGGTAAAAGATAAATCTTTAGTTTAACAAGTTGTTTATTAAAAATAATGCATATTTTATTGTCCTTACCAGTAATTGCTACGAATAGTACAATGTGCCAAGAATGTGCATTGGTCCGTTTACAAGATGCAGTATAATTGACATGAAGACCAGAACACAACGTCATGTTTTTGTTTTGTTTTTTTTCCGCACGGATCATTTCAGAGAGCCCTTTCAGATGTGCACACGCAGTGTTTCATGACAGTATTCGGTTGACTGAAAAGCACAGTACTCTTCCAAAACACAAGAGATCAATAACACTCAAGAACAAGAATTTCAACAAACCCCACATTTCCCTTTATCAAACTGTACTGAACAGTGCTTTACACTTCAAAGCAGCCTTTGCAGTCAAACTTTTTTTTGCCCTTTTTTGCCCATAATGCATTAATTCAGCATTAATTTGCCTGTTAGAAATGACAAAAGGTCAATTGCATTGATGTATCCTAAGTTGAGGCCTAAGGACAGATTTACAACACCTTAAAGGCAAAAACGCTCACAAAAAGGACGCTTCAAATGCTGATATGTTTCCCCTGCATTAAAAGAGGTATTCCCAGAAGCCAGAGCTTAAGTGAGAGGTGGAAAGAAAGAAAGAAACAAAGAAAGAAACAAAGAACGAGTAAAATAAAACAAATAAGGGGGAAAGTATTGCTTAACCAATTTCTTGTCCTGCTTAAAGGAACAGTGCACCCAAAAAAGAAAATTCTGTCATTCACCCCCCTTTAACTTTACAAATTCAAATTCCTAACTTTCCAATTCAAACTCTTCAATGCCACATAAAAGCCAGAGTAAAGTAAGCCTGCTCTGACCCACCTCAGCCCCTAGTATCATAGTACAGTTGTATTTGTATCTGTGTAAATGCATTTATTTCACCTCTAAGCCGCATTAAACACCTAAATGCCACTTCAGAAGCGCTTCTGTGCCACCTTTGCAGTGTAAATCTGGCATATGATTACATTTCCATTACATCAATGCATCTGGCATATGCTTTAATTCAAAGCGACTTACATTGCATTTTTAAGGTGTGCATTTTACATTTTATTTCCTCTACTGTTTTAAATAGAGGAACGCTATACAATAACTTTTGAGCAGGAAAATTCTTCCAAAATTCTCTATGTATAGAGTGCATTAGTGGCCACCCACTTTTTCAGTGGCATTGTTTGTGGAAGTATTTTTTTCCATTAATTTTTTTCTGTAGAAATTCCTTTGAGGGCTTCATTTAAGCATTATAAGCCACGAAACAAACCAACCAGCTACAAGGTGAATCACATTACAACCTTTTATTTAAAGAAAAAGTATTTGAAAATCAGACAAAAAGATTTGAATACTTAAATGAGGGAAAGAACGTCTCGGTTACGTATGGTAACCCTCGTTCCCTGAAGGAGGGAACGGAGACGTCACGTCGTGACCGACGAATTGGGATATCGCTTCGATAGACCAATCTACTTCGAGTGTAAACTAAACGAGCCAATGCACATTGGCATGCAATTATTGCATCCAGCTGCCGCTGATCACAGCGTGAGTATAATAGGGCAGCAGGTGCAATGCATACAAGGTTTTCGCTGAGGAGCCAAGCCGGCGACCCGGCCGCTCAGCGGTGGTACAGCAACCGTGGCGACGGGACGTGACGTCTCCGTTCCCTCCTTCAGGGAACGAGGGTTACCATACGTAACCGAGACGTTCC